AGGTCCTGAAGCCACCCGCTCCGTCTCTGCATCCCAGCTGCTGTGTGCTGCCTTCATAAATAACTCCAGAACAAATCAGAGCCAGGCAAAAACTCTTCTTTGGCCCTTCACATGACTTTTGATTCTGAATATTAAAATGGCCATCCTCCACAGCCCTCCCTCAGTCTAATTGCTGCATTAATAATAAAACAAGGGATCTGTCAGGGTTCTTCTACACTTTGATTCTTGTTTGTTTTCCTGGATATTAATACTAAGATGCCTCATTGCACGGTCTTTTCAATACAGATGTTTTCTTATGCTAGTGTTCATATTTGTTGATTTTAAATAGCAACAAGTTAAGAAGTGAAACTTCTGAGGTTATAACAAGCATATTTATCAGTTCTGCAAAACAGCTAACAATAATAATGTCTGTGGTTACAAGAAGAGCACATTATTAAATGTAATTTGTAACTCTGACTTTTTTCTTAATATTCTTGTTTTCAGCGACTTCACAATGGTTACTGTAGCCTGCAGGCATGACCTCCCCCCTAACCTACTGCATCTGGCAAAAATCTTTTCCATACCCATGTTATGAAGGAGCAATTAGCATTGATGCAGTGCAACGTGTAATCTGAGACGATGCTACAGCACAGCTAGCAATGAATAAACCAAGAAGTTTAGGATTTAGGCAGCTCTGACTTCATCAAGGTTATATACCGTTTCACATAGCACATACATACATCCTAATGGAGCAATATGGGAAAGTCACATTAAAACATGAAAAAAATATTTTGTTTGGCATTTATGAAGTTTATTAAAACACCGAGTAGCAACACGGTATAAAAATGATCTTGTTTGCAGGGAACATTTGTTTTTGTTTCCCCTCTGGAGAAGTTTTGGCTGTTCAATTATAGGCCTCATTGCTTCAGCATTATTTTCAACTGAAATGTCAGAACTTGGAAAAGCATATCTAATGTGCAAATTAAGTTTATTGCTGCTCATTGAGTTGTTTATTCCTTGTGTGAGAAGTCTTTATTGTACCTCCAGCACTCACAACATCTTATCTATTTTCTCCTCTGGAATGGGATTTGCCATATAATGCATGTCTGCAGTTGCTAAGCAAGATAGATAGATAGTGTAGAACCAAGAGCTTTTAAGAAGCTTTTAAAAGTATTTGAGGTGGAAGTCTTAAAGACAACCCCATAAAAGAAGCAGAAAATATCGCACAAGTGCACCACTCTACATCAGTGGTATTGCTGGATGTGAACAGGCTAGAACGAGATACAAGAGGATGTTAATACCATAATAAATGGGGTTTTTTTGCTTACACTGCTAAAAACCCACGTGTCGCATGCAAACCCAGTATAATTCACGAAAAGGTAGTTTTCAACATTTATTTGGTAGAAGCAAATAGGTTTGTGCCAATAAGAAAGTAGACTTCTTATAAAACAGACAGCATAGAGCTATTTGGATTTGCTGTGTTATAAGAAAAAACCTTTATGTTCTGATATTCCAAGATACCAGTTCACTAGAAGGTTCCACAGAATGCATTTTTTTTCAAAATATTTATCTTTTTCCCTGAGGAGGAATTCCATAGGCTTTAACAGATAAATGATGTCTGGAATTTTTATTCCTTCTAATAACATTCTATTACAGCATTACAGATGTCTTATCTCTGATCTCTTTGAATGTGTGATCAAATAATGACACAAGAAATTATGTGACAGACCTAATGAGACAACCCTAATATTATTGGAACTTTCTGACAAGAAAAAGTTTCAAAAAATTCCCAGTCAGTTTCATTACGCCCAGCTGGAGCTAATGGCCCCTTCCTGTACAACAGGCAACTGATGAAGGCTTAAAGATTTTACAGAAAACAGGACATCATTTTCTTTTTGTATTCTATGGGTTTTAGAATGTAACTATTGAACCTGATTATAAATTCTGTGCAACCCTGTTTGTATCATTCTTGCTTAGTCTTACTTTGACCTTTCCATAGAAATAAATTGATTTTATTTATAGTATTTTACTTATTTATAGAATGCTGTAATTGTACACAGTGTATCTCAGAAGAGTCAAAATGCACCGATCCTTGTGACCAACCATCCAATACAGAGAAGCTGGAGTTACGAAATGAGGTGGCAATAAGTCTTGTGGCAGTAGAGGTGATGTGAGTCTTGCGAAGGGTAGATGTTTTAAAGAGAAATTTGAAGGACAGGGAGTACTTGACATATGGAAAACCCATTAGTGGTGCAAAGCTTTATTAAAGCCGAACAAACCAAAGCAGAAAAGATGAATTTCATCCTTGACATCCAAGTCAGCTTTAAGCAAGACAGATAAAATACCAGCAGCAGTTTATACCTGGAGGTCTAGTCGAGAGATCTGGGAAGCTGAGCCCTGTAACCACTGTTTACTCATATGCAGATATTGACCTTACCTATGGAAGGCTCAGGAAACATGCTGTTACCCATCTAGTTGACTGACAATGCAAACGAGCCTTCTTGGGGCCAGCCCTCTCCAGCCATGAGAGAATATCTGTGGAGACCTCTCTCCTGCAAAGCTGAAGACAGAGCAGACAAAACTCAAGTGGAGTCTGGGAGAAAGCGTACCATTAACGTTCAGTGCAATGTAGAATTTCCACTTTGAGGTCGATCGTGGTGTTTTGGGAAAGACTTGGTTTCTTCGATGCCATATTTTGTTGGCTTTAAAAGCTCAGTGTAGAGACGCACACAGTTTATAGGCTTAAGGAGGAAGAGAGTCTCACAGGGTGGCTTTGAAGGAAGAGATGATGAGTTTGGAGGACCATCTGAGGCCAGCAGATCATGTCTCTCCACCTGCTAGCAACTTTCCAATTTTTAATGTATATCAGGGTATTATTTCTTTTTTTCTTCTTTTAATGTATACAACGTTATTGGAAGTAATGGAATTTTTCTCCTCAAAGTGTCATTCATGCAGTTCTGTTTCAACTGAGAGACTAAGATGTACAGGAGAGAAGCAAGGAAATAAAATTTTGTGGAGGTTCTCTGTAGTTCCCATTTACTTTTCAACACTATTCTACAAAAGTTACCTGTACTTCACAATGGAATTACTTCATCTGAGATTTATGGAGCCAAGTTCTTTGCCAGCGTCTGCTGAACTCAGTGGAGTTGTGCCAAGAAAGAATATGGCCCTTGAATCATCTGGAATTTATTGCATCTGACACACTGCTTCCAGGGAGAGGAAGAGATTTCTCTAACCTAATGATCGAGTATCTTCAAGACAGTCATCTGAGGCCTTCATGTTTCTGCAGTCCTTGACTTCAGACAAACTGCTGGAGCTGCCACAGAGGCAGTTTTACATGACCGTGAAGAGCAATCAGAGCACACAGAGAAATCTAAGAAAGTGTGTTCCAAGTCTGAGCTCTAACTCACGATGAGAACCTCTGACACTCCCTTAATGACGCCAGAAAAATACAACTGATTTGTTTGTAACGATAAAAATCAGACAAGTTTTCTTGTTTTTCCTTGGAAAATGTTACCCAATTCCTGCGGCAGGTATATCACTAAAACTAGTGACATCCAGTTTGGTTTTCAAAAGGTTGGCAGAAAATGAAATGTTCTACCTTGCTGCTACTTGACCACTGCCATAACAGCCACTTGTCCAGCACAGCTCAGTTGCTGGGAAGAAGCCCTTCAAGTTTCAGCTCATATTGCCTGTCTGTACCTACACATCAATCAGTTACTGCAACGATGGTGACAGTCTGAATGAAAACGTGTTTGAAAGTAAGGGTTGGATGCTCTATCAAGCATCAACCCTTTGGAACCAAGGCCTTGGTAACACCAAAATCCTGAATTTCCAAGTGCGTTTCTAACACAGGGTTACGCCAGAATGAGTGCTCAACTAATGCAGCTTATGCAAATTTTCTACCACCTCTCACATTATTTTCAGAATGCGTTAATATTGTTGAACAGATTCTGCTCCCATTTTTTTCGGGTGCCTCTAAATTCTCACCGTTTTCTAACACTTGCATGCACAAAAGCTTTATTCAAGGGAAATGCTTCAACAAAGTGGTTGTTACCTCTAATCCACCTGCCAGTCATATCAACAAAAGGGAAGCCATATGAACCTATTTCTTTCCTTTTCAGCGAGCTACTACGTCCCTTAATAAGTTTGGTCTCAGTGTAAAGGGTTAAAAAAGATGACATAGTTCTTCTGCCTGTGAAGACATCTTCTTCGAAGCTGTGACGTAAGCAGCGCTGTGCAGTAAGCTACCACCAACGTTACTGTAGATGAAGGATCTCAATGTGTAGAGCAATTCTGCTTTTGCTGCAGTTTCCTACAAGGAGAGATTTTCACATTTGAAGACCCGTGGACGTGGGCATATTTTTAACAGTCTTAATAATGAATTCTGGGCTTTTTGAGCTGAAACCATATCTATTGACTACGGCCTTTGCAAAGTAGCATATGACTAATTTAGCATGTTGCCTCGGACATCTGCTGGCTCTGAGGCACACAGCGTGCTCGTTGCATTGATGCTGTGAAAGGAATAGGCTGCACACAGGTAAGAGTGTTCCAAAATCATCACCATATTAGAGATAATTTTCTTTATTATGGAACATTTGGGCCAATTTTAAATCATTTCACAAATGGTACAAAACTCATTCAAGATCTACTATTTTTGTAAGCATGTTAATAAAACAGAATTTTTTTTTTGTCTCCACAGAAAGGACTGTAATTACTGTTCCACCTTCTAATATGGATGTAACAGTTGGAGAAAGCATAGTGCTCCCATGCCAGGTGTCCCACGACCCCTCCGTTGATGTGATGTTCACATGGTCATTCAATGGCGAAACGATTGATTTTAGTAGAGGAATACATCATTTTGAAAGAATTGGAAGAGTAAGTTTTTTAAACTCCTTAGTGCTTAATGAAACTATTTGCCACAGTCTTTAGGCGACACAAATATTTATCATAATTCTTCCGGCGCTATTTATATGCATGGCAAATCACTGTTTCCTTACAAAGGCTGCAGCTATTTATTTTTCTTTCTTAAATTTCATAAAGGTGCTTGAGTTATTTGTGAAGCCATAATAAAAATGTCCACATGAAAGAAACTGATGATAGCTATGAATATTTTAATTTCAAAGCTGAATTTTTTATTAATATCGAGCAATTTATAAAAATGTCCAGTATGGAAAGTATGTTGTCTGTGATTAGTTTACTTTCTTTTTATCTCCAGGAATCTGTTGGGGATTTGATGATAAGAAATATTCAGCTCCATCATTCTGGGAAATATGTGTGCATGGTACAAACAACTCTAGACAGTCAATCTGCAGCAGTAGATATAATTGTGAGAGGTACATCTGTTAAAGCTAGACACATATATCTTCTGGAGGAATTAGAAATTCTTAACATCAGCTGTTGTTTAAATGGTTCCTAGGATATCAATTCAATATTTCAATAGTGAAATGTTATCTGTGTTGGACACTTGGCCCCAAAATTGCTTTGAGATTCTGGCCAGCATGATCCTAGTGTGCAGCTAACCCGGGGAGATCTGTGCAATTCTGCCACGGCCTCTTTGGAAGGTCAGCTTTTCTGGCCACACAGGTCAATGTGGCAGGGCATAGAGAAGTCATCTACTTCCAGCAAACTGCTGTCACTTGCACCTTGCTGAGTATCTCTGGGTCACTGTACAGGCTGGAAAAAACCCCACAAAAGTCCTGGTTCCTGTCCACTATTTGGAGATAACATGAAAAATTATTTTCTGTGGCCAACTAACTAATCTTTTTACTGCTGGCAGCAAGATAAATGCTGCGATGGGAGCAGACCCTCTAAACCCTAGCAGAAATCAGAAATCTGTGCAATGCACCATCTTGCGTTTTTTCTAAACCCCAGTTTTGATTAAATTCAACAGGAATTCTGAAAATGTTGGATAGTTCAACAAAAGACACATTGGATAACTTTCTTTGTAAGACAAAAAAAAAAAAATAATTCCCTTGTTTCTAGTTTTCGTATTAGTAATGTAACGACATTCATTTTCCTGACTCAAAACCCCTCATTAATTAGAAAAATGTAATACAGGCACGAAGCCATCATTTAGAGATTGTGCTGTTTTTATGAAACTGCAGCTTCATGAATAATTCCACTGACTTGAGAAAGTAAGAGTTACCCGACCCAAACCAGAAATGAATCTTCTCTTCCTAATACCTTCGTCTTAAAATGCTAATCATATTAGGCCCCCCAGGTCCTCCAGAAGATGTTGAAGTTGAACATATTTCTAGCACTACTGCTGTGTTGTCCTGGAAGTCGGGCATCGATAATAATAGTCCAGTCCAGATCTACAGTGTTCAGATGAGAACTCCTTTCTCAGTTGGGTGGCAGGCGGTTTCAACAGGTGAGCAATTTGAGAGTTGCCTTGGAATTTTTGCGTGTGCTATTAATTACTCCAAAAATACATTGTCATTGAAATGTTCGTTTTGCCTTTAGTTCCCGAAGTCATTAATGGTAGGACTCACAAGGCAACAGCGGTTGGCTTAAGCCCTTGGGTTGAGTATGAGTTTCGTGTGGTTGCCAGCAACAGTGTTGGAATTGGGGAGCCAAGCAGACCATCAGCTTTACTGAAAACTAAAGCAGCAGGTAAGTCCCCAGTTTCCACCTGTTTTTTCCACACAGACATGTTGCCAGCTCCCAAGTAGGAGAATCTCGCTACACCAGAGCTACTCACTCCTGCAGGGTTACTTACACATCTGTCTGGCATTTTAGTCTGTGGCTTCATGACAGCAGACCTGCAGTGCTGGTGCAAGGGGTGTTTGGATGTGGTTGAGGTATTGCAGGTTTTGCTTTCTGGTTTGGAAATCACTTAGGCCAGCAACAAAGGCTGGAGCTGGTCCACGATTCCTCCCTTTGGTACGTCCCCAAATTTATCTAATCGCCATGCCTGAACACAAGCTTTCATTCAAGCAATTGGGGAGCAACGTTTGTTTTCTTCCAATTTTAACTGCATTTATACCCTGCTCAGGGACCTGCGTAGAAGAGCTCTGGCATAGCCAAGCACAAGCATGCGTGTTTGATATCTGAACATCAGTGGGGAGAGGATATTGCCTTTAACAGGAGGAAATAAATTACAGCATCCAAAGCCTCACGAAACTAATAGCTTCCACTGACTCCAGGACAGGATCCTCACTATCTGCCTGTCTAACCTTTACACAGTTATCTGCTGGGACTTGGAACCTTATAGGAAGAAGACTCATTCTTGGATGACCGACACTGTCAGTCCTTTGACCTACTCAGTTTGGTACAATTTATTTGAAGCACAAACCTTTGGTTTGTTTTATGTTTCTCCCAGCCCCCTCTCTCCCACCTATAAAATCAGCATTTATAGGACGGAAAGCAGTAAAATGGAAGCAGCTTTTACAATCCACTTTCTATTCTCTGTTTATCTCGTTTGCCAAGCTCTGAAGTTTGGCAAGCTGCGTTTCAAGACAGAACTCAAAATACAGTATAGTACATTACACAGCTGAAAATACATATATCCTTAGAAGGGTGATCCATTTGTTTCTCAGAATACTTACAATATTTGTCCCAAGGCAGAATTACTTCAAAATGTGTTAAATCACTTGATTTAAATTTAATATGTTCTTTTTCCTACTGTTGAAGCAAAAACTTATACTGGGTACTAATGCCAGAAAAAACTATTTGATCACTAGAACACCAATTTTGGTAGATTTTGTCAGCTTTGCAGGTGCAGAGAGACATGAAATGAATGTTATCAGCTGTCAGCACTGCCTGGCCAGTGTGGTGGAAAAGCAGATTGCAGGCTGCTCCCAAGCAAAGGGAAGAGCCTGAGGGCCTCCACCTTGGAAAGATGCTCTCATCCTGCCTGGGCTTAGGTGTCTGGAGGATGCATGCCCAAGTGTTCCATGACCTCTTCCTCCAGCAGGAGGACCACAGGAAGCTTTCACCTGTAAGGAGTAAGGGATAACGGGAAAAGTGAAGGCTAAAGAAAAGCTGGAGACAGGAAGAGGCCAGATTTTTTAAATTTCCCAGCAGAGTATCCCAGATATATTTTCTCCAGTACATGATTGATCATGAAGTCAAAATTAGTCTTGAGAAGGTCTTTCTTGCTGTTGCTACCTTGGGGCTTTGTAAAGTGTGATATTCAAAACCACCTATACAGTCAGTAAAAGCTTTCATCTTTTAAAGCTTTTTTTTATTAGAGGGATTCACAAGGCTAGGGCTGGAAAGAGAAAGAGACAGTAAAATTAATATTATTTATCATGGCAATAGTGCAAGGAACATTATTTCCTTACAGTGTAGCCCCTTCTGAAGCTGAACAAAAGGAATAGGAAGACTCAGTTCAGGTTTAGTTGTTTAACCTCTTCACTGCTGTAAATCATTCTGTCTCAAAACATCACTGTGCAGTGGGAGGATGGACAGATTACCTTTAAATTTTTTATCAGAATGAAAAACTGAAGAGAGTGTGACAGTGTGGACAGCAGAAGACTGACCATGAAAGGGTGAAATTGAACTTCACTGCTACAATAGCGATTTTACCAGCCGAAATATTGAGCATTAGTAGATTTGTGGATGCAAATGAGCCACTGTTCATTTCATTAAAATGGAGATGAGAATTAATTGAGCCTCTGTTGGTGCACTCAGCTGTAAATTTTCATCTGCTTCTCAACTATGACCCAGTTGAGGTTCTGCTGAGCAGTAGTACAAATTTTTTCCCCATGCAAACATAGTAAGTACTGAACACATTTAACACATGAACTAATTGAGCATCAACTGGTTCAGGAAACAGTGAAACAGTAGGCTCGAAAGCCTATTTTGTCATTTTTTTTTCCTTTAATGCTGCTCTTTTCAGTCTTAGGTTATTTGCCTCTGATGTGCACAGAGACATTGATTGTGAGTGACAGAATCGAATACCTATGCTAAACTCTTCGAAAGAGCCTGGTCTGTTTGCACTTGCACTCACTTTTATGACTGCACAACAAAATTATCGTGAAATTTCTACATTTCTAGAGAGGATTAAACCAGATACAGATTTATATGTGGACTTGAACCTAGAAGTGACAGTGGGTTCACATAAATTTCTGCGAACTTAAAGGGCTATTACCCTTATTGTCTCTACTGCAGCTGGGCTAACGCTGGGTGGAAGACATGGGGAAAGGCAGGAAGATGTAGCAAAACTAGCCAAAATCTGTGAAAAAGCTTCTGAGATATAACTATCCCATCTATTTATGACCCTGTCTTCATCCGTGTCTCAACAAATCCAACTTTCAGACAGCAAGAGCTGAGTGAAGAGAATGACAAAGCAATTCTTGAATTTTTAAAAATAGTACCAAGGTTTTGGAGATGGCAAGGAGTGAAAACAGTCTCTTAGAGGGAGTTTCTGTCTCAGTGAGTTCCAGAGTTGTCCTCTTTTCTATACTTCTCTAGCAGGTGAAAAGGAACATGATATCATCCTTGCAAGTGGATCTATAGTGAACTATACAATAAGAGCAAGGCTAGTCTGTCTAAATTCCATCCGTTCCATCACAATGCAGTTCCCCAAAACTGTCAAAATTTGTAGGCTAATGGAGTGGGTGTGTTGCTGGAAATATAGAGCAAGAGGCAAGAAATGCTGATGTTTTCTTTGTCTCTCAACCAAGAGCTGGTAGACCAGCGTGTTGCTTGACCTATGGTGTCATGCACCTGGGGCAATGCTGGGGAAATCAAGGTCTAATCAAAGAACTTTTGGACACTTACCATCTTGAGAGAAGGAGAAAAGCAAATTATGAGTTTTGAATTTCCTAAGAAAAGCATACAGCCAATTAAAAAATTAATATATTGCTCCAACAACATGTTTACCGAACAAATGCATAATTAGTAAATCAGTAGTGTTGCAGCTACAGTCTGAATGGAACATCATTTTGCCAATTAGTTGATGAGGCATAATAATGTCAGATACTTGATGCTACTAGCTTCTTTAATTAATTTTTTGAACCAGAGTACTCATGTATTAAATACATCTGTGGCTTCAGCCTTAGAAACTTGAAAACGTGTAAACATAATTTCGGTTCATGTAAAATGTACTGTCATATAATACAGTCCCTGTTCTACGTGTTGAAAGGCAGAATAGCTGCATGTGAGCTAGGAAAAGCTCTACTCATCCAGGTGACAAGACCTTCAGCAATACCAGTGGGTAGTTGCAAGTACCAACATCTTTTCTTCTCCAGTTCCTGTCGTGGCTCCAACGAACATCAGCGGAGGAGGAGGGAGCCGTTCTGAGCTGGTCATCACGTGGGAGGTAACTGGTAGCTCAATTAACCTAAGCAGAGTCCATGGGTGAAATCACAGCCCTGCTGAAATCCAAAGGCTTTTGGTCATTGGCTTTAGCTGAGCCTGGATTTCATCCTGCCTCTGGAGGGAAAACAGCCTGTAAGATATATAGCAAGTTTTCTGTGTTATAGCAAACAATTTATAAAAATAAACAGTTTAAGAGGCATATTATAAAGATGTTTAGAAGTCTGTATAACCCTCTTATCTCCATTGTACAGGAGGTGCTTAACACACTAATCTGCTTGGCCATTTTCTGCATTAACATTTTTCATACTTTTGTTTACATGTTTTTTATTCTGGAACACTGTGCTGACAAGACATATCCTATTATGCGTTAAAGGAGATGAGCCCTTTAATTCTCCAGCACTCCAGCGAGAGGAGAGAATATACATTTCCAGAACAGTTAATACCATACTACAAGTTGCAACAGGAACTTAAGGAAGCCCTCCTTCTCCAGCCACCCAGCAGCCTTCCCACGGGAATCACGATGAAGGCAGGCAGCCTCTTGCAGAGCCCATGCAGTGATGGGGCAGGGGCTTAGCCAGTACTCCAGCCCCTATGGAAAAACTCCCCAAAACACAGCTCCTACCCTCTGAGTTTTTTATTGGTGCTAAAAAACACATCTGAAGTTAACAGGACTCACCTAATTAAATCTTTCCTCCAGCTTTGAGGACATCTGACTGAAGTAGGAGCTACCCCATGCCATTAGAAGCCCTGCCATGTATGTTACTATCAGAAGTGTCTCAGAGGCTGCACAAGATGACCTATGTTTAGCTCCTAATTTGAGATGGGCTCTCCAAAACACAGTGCTGCCTTCATAAGTCATAGAAAATATTTCTTCATGGGGAAAAAAAAAAAAAGTCTTCTAGTTCAGCTTAAGGAAAGCAGTCTCTCCTCTCCCTTGACTTCATTTTTTTTTCCCCCAAAGAAATAACCAAGGTCCTGTATACAGATTAAAAGGAAAGGAAAAGTGTTCCCTGGAAAAGTGTTCCCTGGAAGTGTTCAAGGCCAGGTTGGATGAGGCTTTGAGCAACCTGGTGTAGTGGAGGGTGTCCCTGCCCATGGCAGGGGGGTTGGAACTGGATGATCTTTGAGGTCTCTTCCAACCCTAACCATTCTATGATTCTATGAAAAGGAATTAAACTAAAATTGATGTTATTCATCAGCTGAGTTATCTGTGTTCTGCTGCATGCTAAAAACTGTGCCATTTGACCAGCTTTTTGGAGGAGGAAGGCAAGTGATAGAAAAAAAAATGAAGTCAAAAGAAAAAAAAATCTGCACTAAATAATATTGTCAATGGTTTCCCCTCTCCATGCTCCAGAGTGAAACTTTATTTTTCTGAACTAAATTTTCCTCCATATGCATCTTTCATTCTTGTTCCATTTTCCTCTCTACTGATCTACTCTTTGGGAGCAGAACATGAAAATCGAAAACAACCTGAGAGATCTCAATCAAATTATCCTGTTGGACTCCATAGTGTGTCCGGAAAAATAGTCAGAAGAAATACTAATTATGCCAAGCTAACAACACTGAACTCGCCTCTGCAGCTTTCTGTGATGAACTCACTAAACATCTTGATTAAATCTGAGGTCACAGAAGCCTCAAAACCAAATTAAATGCTCTAGAAAGTAGCTTGAACTCTTATAAATCCCCAGTGCACCGTCGTTACTCACACTTAACTCTCTCAGGACTGGAAAAGAGATAGAAGGAGGCATATTGGGGAATTAGTGTTTGCAAAACACTTAAGGAAAGACACATCTGCAATACATGCCAGGCCAGGGTTATTATCAGACTTAGAAGCAATTCATGAAGAAAAGAATAGAAAAAGTGCCCTGAAATCTTCTGATGTACTTCCTGATTTTTTTTTTTTTTCCCCATCTTCTCACACCGTTAGTGCTCCAGGAGTTTCTCTGCAGGAGAGGAGCTTGGAGCCAGGAACGATCATCAGGGCTGTGGTTCTGTCCCCATGTTTTTCTCTCTTTTTTTGCACCATTTTTCATGGCTGCTTGTCCGTGCACCTTATTTTGAAGCAAGCACCTAAAATAAATGAAGTTTTGCTGAGAAATGGTTCCTTCCTCTGTGTACTACTGATCTTTTCTTGTTCCATAAACTTTCTCTTGCTTTGAGGAGCTGATGTAGAAGTATTTTTATCCCAGGAAAACAAAAAAGTTCATGCTGGATTCAGTGCTGATGTAACTGCCTGTTCAGTATGAGTCATTAATACATATCTAGACACGAGATTCTATTAATAGAAACATTAATTTTGCCATGTTGACTTGCAATAACTTTTCTGTTCTAAACAAACTTAAATATGAATACGTTCATGAACTTGAGACTTCTAGTTGTGCTAAAAAGTTACTTAAGTACTGTACTTATATGCAGGCAATTATACAGCTGACTCACACTTCTGTGTATACATTTGCTTCTTTCCTGACTTTTTTTTTTCTTTTAAAAATCATTTATTTAAAATTAACATTCCTATACCCCTTGGGAAAAAAAAATCAGCTACAACCAGTGCTGAGTGAAATGCTTTTAATTTTGAAAACTTCATGCCTGAAAGAGAATGACTTTAATGGAGCTGATCAGATCTTTTGTTTCTAAATTGATTGCCTCAATAGATTTATTATTTTGATTTTTATTTCAATATTACATTGACTGATGGAGCAAACATTATTATCTTCTCTAAGGCACAGTCAACTAAATCAATAACACTAAAATACACTCAGAGAATGAAGATTCAATTAAAACAGTGTATACTTGCAAATGCTTATTGACTGACTGCCTTGTCACCACAGCCTGTTCCAGAGGAACTACAAAACGGGGATGGTTTTGGCTACATCATTGTGTTTCGTTCTCTTGGCTCAACAACCTGGACAAAAGCAGTGGTGGCTTCAGTGGAAGCAAGCAAATATGTTTACAGGAACGAGAGCATTACACCTCTCTCTCCTTTCGAAGTGAAAGTTGGTGTCTACAACAATGAAGGAGAAGGGACTCTCAGCTCCATATCCATTGTCTACTCAGGAGAAGACGGTAACGTGTGTTACTCTTATTAGTAATGGTTGTGTAGCATCAGTAGCTCCCAGATATGCTCAGACAGATCTCCACAGGGGTATTAAGGAGCGTGCTCAACGCTGCTCATTGAAGATTGACAAGAGACAGGAGATAGAAGACGGGAAATTGAAGTAAAAAAAAAGCAAGAGGCAGATTTTCAGAATCGCTTTAAGTAGACAACGTGTTTGTAGTCCCCAGGGAGCTCCCACTGAGTGGGCTGTGAAAAATCAGGAGACATTCAAAACAGAGCAGCTCTCAGAGGGTTTAGCTTTTCAGACCACTCAGTGCAGCTGCTGTCCTCTGATTTTGTCCCAACTTATGGCTAACGACCAATTTTGAAAAATTATAGTTTTGCTGATTTTCCACAATAAATGAGTGGCAAAGCTAGAGGTTCACACCAGGTTTCCTGAGCCTCTGCTGTCTGCTTCTCTCCAGAATCTTTCTCTCTTTTCTTGGATCTCCCTCAGTTGCTAACATAACAGCCTTTTGATAACCAAACGTTCCACCAGCTGTGTTTTCTCCCATCCCCAGAGCCGCAGGCAGCACCAGTGGGGGCTTCGGCACTGAGCGTTTCGGCGGCGGAGGTGGAGGTCTCCTGGCAGCCCATCGCGTGGAACAGGCACACGGGCAGGGTGCTGGGCTACGAGGTGAGGCGGCTGGTGCTGGGGTCTGACACCATCCAGGTGTCCCTTCCCCAGCCGTGTTTGTGTTCGGGTTCCTCCTCCCTTGCTTCCAAGTCAACAGACAATGGAGCTCTTCGCCCGACTCTCATTAGTGACATTTCACCTGAGATAATCCCAAGCATTTACAGACCAGGACTGCAGCTCTGCCCCACACTTTTTGCAAGGTAAATTAAAACCTCAAGATTCATCATTCGTGATGGCTGCTCTAAAAGGACTCTTGCTTGATTCCACAAAACAAAGCTGATCCTCCTCTTCTTACACAGCTGTAACGCTGTCTGAGCAGGATGGGGCACTCGGATAGTTTAGGGGCATGAACATGACCCATAGCATTGCTTATAGAAGAAATTGAGATAAATGCACTTCATTGCTATCCAAAGCTTGTGCTGCAGTGTATTTGAAAGGCTTTTGGCTTCTCACTCCTCTTAGAAGCACAGAATCATTTAGGTTGGAAAAGACCTTTAAGATCGAGTTTCACCGTTAACCCAGCACTGCCAAGTCCACCACTAAACCGTGTCCCTAAGCACCACATCTAAACATCTTCTAAATACCACCAGGGATGGCGACTCCACCACTTCCCTGGGCAGCCTGTTCCAACATTTGACAACCCTTTTGGTGAAGAAATTTTTCCCAATATCCAATCTAAACCTCCCCGGCACAACTTGAGGCTCTGGGAATTGAATACCTGCTCGTTTACTGACAACTGACAGGTTTTCTGCCCTGTGCACTGGAGTGCATTGCTGGTGTCACAGCACCAGGGCCAGGGCTGGATCCAGGGCTGGGCAGTTGAGGGTCTGAGCAGGGGGGGATGAGGACACATGGGTGCTGCCAGACCCCGGGGGCACTCACCCAGCTGTGCTGCTTCTGGCTTCGCCCTGGTCTCCAGCATCCGGTGGGAGCAGAAACCCCACATCAACTGCATCTGACATCCACAGGGCAGACCAGAGGTGCTTCCAGCAGAGGTTGGGGAAAGGGCAGATTTTAGTATTAATATCTGAGATACTTTGCAATAACCTCAGATATGATTCCTGGGCATTTTACTTGCACAATGAAACAATTTCTTACTTTTTTTTTTTTTTTTTGATAAGATAAACCAAGAGTAAAACCAAGCCAGAAATACTTTAAATTCTATCCTATCATTACAAATATATAAATAAAGGTAATAAGAGTCATGTACAGTACACAAACCTTCCTAAATCAATGACTTACTGAAAAAAAATTCAGGTCTAAATAGCTGTCACTGAATCAAAACTAGAGGCAGGATGCAAAATAATTAAAAAACCTCTTAGATGACTGAGATGAATGTTTCTTTACATCTTTTAAAGTTTTTTAAATATGTTTGAACCATAAAAACAAACAAGCTTTTAAAATTTCTCACCTTACCAAAGGTTTCCTTTTGGGCATCTATAAAGTTAAGGATTTCATTTTCTTCCTTAATTGGTATTCGGTCTCTGAAATTTTATTTCTTCTCTATAAATATTCATGCTTAGTTTTATTTCCTTCTACTTTTGAATGTGAAAAACCCTGTACTCCTTGAAATCTTCATTGTCAGTGTGTCTGCTTCTCAGCCAAATCTGTAATTGATGGAAAACAATGAATTGCCTGTTCTTTGTTCTCCCTTTTCAGGTTTTATATTGGACTGATGATCCCAAGGAAAGCACAGCTGGTAAAGTCAGAGTCAATGGGAACGTAACAGCCAAAAATATCACAGGACTAAAAGCTAACACAGTGTATTTTGCAACAGTTCGAGCTTACAACACTGCAGGGACGGGGCCCTCCAGCACCCCGGTAAATGTCACCACTAAAAAATCACGTGAGTATTCAATTTTGTATAACAAATGTTGCAAACTCCCAAGTGTGATAGTGACATTTCAGCTCCCCGTGACCCATCGCTGCTAAATGTTGCAATATCAAACCTCTAAATTATGCACTACAGAGAGCAGCAGGTGTGATACGTTTATATAAATAATATTTAGTCATCGATTGTTTTAATTTTCTGCAACTATAGAAGCAAAACCATGTGCTATTCTGTTTGTGAGAAGTAGCTTCATGAATCCAATGTTTCATAGGCCCATCCTCCAAGGTAACAAGGAATCACTGAGCACCATCGTGCAGGATTGAATCCATGAATTATGGATTTACTAAGAGAATGTTACTAAGAATTTACTAAGAATGTTTACTAAGAGCAAAATTGTCACAAAGCAGGAAATCTTGGTAATCTGCTATGTACCAGAGTGCTCAAAACTCATTATTGTTTAAGCATTCCATTTTTTACATATTTTCCTTGGACTATGTTTTCCCAGTAAACAATTGGTCAGTCCTTTTGCACAAAAAGGGAAATATTTCTCCTGTCTTTCACCGATTTTCCTCTTGTCTCTGTGCTGTTCCGTGCTGTTACTCCAAGTGCAAGACGAGAACCAATTTGTAAAATGAGTTCATGATAAAAGTTACCATTTAATGTGAATAGCATGAACCAAAATTAAACCAGAGAAGATATTTCTTAAGGATTCAAACAGAATTTTTCTCACAGGCGATTTGTTAATGGAAAATAGACTCATCTTTGGAAATGATTCTCTATATTCATATGTGCATATGTATGAAAGACAAGTTAGAGACATGGCAGTCAAGTGACAAGACATAGAAGGAATAAATTTGCTTTTGTTTTACATTGATTGAATCTCCTGTCAAATTCAGGACTGTGCTAATGGTTCATTTAAAAATTAAAGTCAAAATAACTCTTTTAATATTTAAAAACATATATTAAAATTTTAAACTCTACTCTCTGAAAGATGCAAGCACTTTCAATATGAGTAGAGATAATATGTCAAGAGAATATAAACAATGCTTCAGCTCCAAGGTAGTAGCTCTGTTTTCCCACTCAGTGTCCAAGATTCCTACAGTGTCCTGTGTATGCCATTACTGTAGAGACTAAGCAAAACTAAAATAGTCCCCCTGCCAAATAGGTGCGATTCTGATTGAAACCAACTTATCTAAGACCAATTTAAGGTCTAAGTTGATAGCCTGGTTTAAGTTTAAACTACTTAGGAAAGTGGAAATGATGTCTTCCTTCCATGCTCCATTACTGTGAAGCTATTGTGGAGCTCAGCTCTTCCATTTCTTTACTTTCTTTGAAGAGATTTATTTGCTTTTTCTTTTTTTTTTTTTGTTACAAATACATACATAACAGATAAAGGTATTAGAAATACTTTGCAAGATTTCTTTGCTTTTTCTTTTTTTTTTTTTTCTTTTTGTTACAAATACATACGTAATGGATAAAGGTATTAGAAATACTTTGCGAAGATCAAACCTCAGCTCAATATGGCAACAAAGCCAAGTGTTACCTAAAACATGAGAGCAATGTTACTAACTTAATAAACTCAAACATATACTTGGGCATATACTTAGAACTTCTAGTATTCTTGACAATATTGATTATGAGAAGCTAGCTGTGGAAATAATCTGTTAATCTTACATCTGAAGAATGGTTCCCAGTGGTTTTGCTTGCAGGTATTACTATGGATCTGGGGAAGTGTTATTTTACCACCTATTCTGGTCCCTGGCTGTGCAGCAAAACCAGATAATTGTGTTTTGAAAATCATTCTGTGGTGGTTTTTAAGCCAAAAGACTATGAACTAATATGGTTTTAGGTACTGTGCTAAAAAGCTTTGAATAAGGCAGTATTCACCAATTTTGAATACTTCCAAGACTTTTCAGAGTACACAGTCAGTTAAATATTTGACGTTTTGCCTCTTGTGACTTTTTTGTTATCAACTTCCTTATATAAAATATTTGCTGAAAGCCACAAACAGTATTTAAGTAAATTTTCAGTTTTATCTATGTGAACATACACAAATGCCTTCAAAAAGAAAATGAATCTTTTTCCAACACTGACAGTATGGCTCATGGAAGGACATCTGCTTATATTCACCTGGATGGTCCACTAACACCTCCTTTCCCTTCTAGTGAGATTAAACTTCTCCACAGTCATGAAGCAGATAGATATGAAACAACAGGCACCATCACTTTATTCTGTCTCCATGGGAAATGAAAGAAATTGTTGAATATTACCAAATCAACAGCACCTTCCAAGTTGCATGCATTAATCCTCAATATGTAGGAACTGTAGGGAGAAAAGAAGGATCCCAGAGGTTAAGCGTTTTAAAGTCAGATCTGGGACACACAACCTGTTGCTCCAAACCTCTCCTCCTTTTACTTAATTCTGTTCAAGACCTCCTTTCCTCTAACACCCCTAGCACCGTCCTCCCAGGCAGGGTCCAGGAGAATGCACCATGGAGGAGATAATGTGTTATTCTAAATCTGAGATGCAGTTCAAAGGCACAGCTTCAACTTCACATGTTCACACAGGATTCGATTCCAGTCACTTGTAGGCAAATTTTCAAAGTCCTTGCACTTAGGCATGAAAAGCCTTTGAAAAGCTACTCAGCCTATTGTGCTGAGAATTTATAAAATCCTACAATGTTTCATGATGGATCACATGGAGACTTTAATGTGTAGCTCTTTGTAACCTATACTCATGGCTGATGAAAATCTTGTCTTTTGTATTCTGCTCTTAGTTTTAGCTTTTTCTGAAATCCATACAGCAAAACATTCTCTAGTACATTAAAATACAGATAGGAACACAGTACTCAAACAAAATCTATCAAATATAACTTGAACTGTCAGACATAGTCAGGCTTTTCCTAATTTCAAAAATGAACTCTCACAGTAAGTGGTTTTGTGTTATGAATAGATCTTTATTCTGACTAATATAAGAGCAATGACGGACTGGAAAATGTTTTTTACTCTTAGATTTGAATCACCCATGCATTTGTTACTTCCATGTCAGCAGCTCATTCAATTACACAATGCAAATTAATATTCAGTTGTATCTTGTGATTAGCATCATCTTTTTTTTAAAGCACCGAGCCAGCCCCCGGCAAACATCGCCTGGAAGCTGACAAATTCCAAAATCTGCTTGAACTGGGAGCATGTGAAAACAATGGAGAATGAATCAGAGGTGCTAGGCTACAAAGTAAGTCATTTCTTTATCTTGTTATTCAAACGTGTTATTTATAATAGAGGCACAAACAGTGACTTGTTGAAATGCAGCTGCTCATTACCTGGAAAACAGTGACTTTTCTGCAGTTATGGGGGTGGTTGGCTGACATTTGTACCAATGGAAGAATGGCTGTGTTCATTCAGAGTAGAACCTCTTCATCTCAACACAGGAATTTTCTGTCCCCAATGCTGGATCTCTCTTGTCCCATTTCCCTTGTAATCTTACTCACCTAAGATTCTTGCATTCACATCTTTTTGGTGAAGGAGTTTCGCACGTATGTAAGAAGTAGAGAGCAGTCTCTTAAACATTAAAGTCAGGTATAAAACACATTTAAAAGTTCTCATTCTGACAATCCAGAAATGGACCTTTGAAAACAGGTAGGAAGATACGATCAATGTGATTGAAGTAAAAAGCACTTCCATAAATGTATTTTTTAAGGAAAGGCAAATTTAGCTTAAAGTTTGTTTGCAGTGGTTCTGACCCTAAAAGACGTAAAGAAAGACTTTTTTACTCCTGAAGGACTATAAAAATGGAGGTGGAGATTGCTTGCATGAGAAAAGGTTCTCAGGATCAAGATCTTCATGTTGCTAGGCATTTTAATGTCTACACAGTTATTTATGCCTAGGGAGGAAAAGGACACCAAAAACCACCCACCATGCAATTTTTCTTAAGATTGTATTCTTTTACACCCTAGTGAGTGTGTTCCAGTAACTCCACACACTGGGGAAAAAGTTTAAACTAAACTATTAAGCTTTTTTTCCTTTGTGTCTAACCCACCTGCTTCTACGCCACACTTACTATATTTTGATGTGGAACCAGTGCTTTAAGTACTTGCTGTGGTATTTATTTTATGATCCCTGTTTCTCCTGGTTCTTCAGTTGCTCTTTTTGGCATAAATATGCCAAAAGATTGTCAAGCAAGAGGAGTCAAACACTGTCATTGCTGTGCTAGCAAAGAAGAAAGGCTTCTTGGAGCCAGAAAGCTGATCATAGCCTGTAGGATCCCTGCTGCTATGCACCTTGCTCTGATGACACATTAGCAAAAAGACCTAAGTGCAACCAAGCACTGGATCCATCATCTTCAGTTGTAGCAATGTGCTTCCTAAGTGGAAACCCAGATACTACTATCCAAATTTCTGTCCTTTCTTGACGTCTTTAAAAACATACAGCTATGCAATGCCCCACGTTTTCATTAGCAGTGGTAATTTTACTCAGAGGTCAATGTGAACATTTCTATTTGACTGTAACTGCTCTCCACAAAAAGGCAAAATTTTTTTTTAAAAAAGCCTAAACCGTCAGTTCCTGAAGTGACAGACGAATTCCAGATCCAATTCTGGATATAAGAGCTGTTACAGACTGAATTTTTCTTTAAGGGTGTGTCTAACTTCCATACTTACAGAAGAGTGTAAGTGTATTCAATAAGGATTTCATAACCCAGCTTTCAAAGTGAGCCTCAGTTCTTGCAGACCAAGACTGTCCTGCAAAATGCAGGTGGAATACATGCCCACTGTGGTCTCCACCACAAAATTCTGCAGAATACATTTCTATGTTTTGAATTAAGCTTAATACTCTGCAGAATCCTGATAGTGCTCTGAAAAGTTTAGGACATGATGGAAGATATTCTCATTCAAAAGTATCTATTAAAACTTAAAAAAAAAAAAAAATAATAACAACCTCTTTTCTAATCTGTTTTCACTTAGATTTTGTATAGACAAAACAGACATAGCAAAGCACATGTATTGGAGACAAACAACACTTCAGCTGAACTTCTGGTACCATTTGAAGAAGATTATCTCATAGAAATCAGAACAGTCAGTGATGGTGGGGATGGCAGCAGCAGTGAGGAAATTAGGATTCCAAAAATATCAAGTACGTGAGATGATTTTTTTTTCCCTCTGAATGTTATGCACAATAAGAATTCTGTGTGCCTCTAAGAAGGGCAGTAGATTAACAGACTTTCCATTACCATAGGTGGTACCCCTCCTGTTGCTTTGTGATGCTGGGTACGTGTGGATGAGTCTCCATTACTTTCACTTTCATCAGAGGAGAAAGTATTTAGCAGAACATCTGGATGTGGCTTTATATTTAGTGTGACGTGGCTCTTAATCTGCTCTGGAGCTGCTGCTGCTGCTGAGACAGACAACCTCAGCCCTGCTCCACGGTTGGGGTGGGGCTGCCCAGAGTCCAGTCTCTGCCCTCATAAATATCGTAGAATCATAGAATCACAGAATGGTTTGGGTTGGAAGGGACCTTAAAGGTCATCCAGTTTCAACCCCCCTGCCATGGGCAGGGACACCCTCCACTACACCAGGTTGCTCAAAGCCTCATCCAACCTGGCCTGGAACACTTCCAGGGATGGGGCAGCCACAGCTTCTCTGGGCAACCTGTGCCAGTGCCTCACCATCCTCAGAGTGAAAAATTTCTTCCTTATATCCGATCTAAATCTGCCCTCTTTCAGTTTAAAGCCATTGCCTCTTGTCCTGTCACTACACGCCCTTGTAAAAAATCCCTCTCCAGCTTTCCTGTAGCCCCTTTAGGCACTGGAAGGCTGCAATAAGATCACCCCGGAGCCTTCTCTTCTCCAGGCTGAACAGCCCCAACTCTCTCAGCCTGTCTTCATAGTAGAGGTGCTCCAGCCCTTGGATCATCTTCGTGGCCTCCTCTGTTATAATATCTTATTATTCTTATTATTCATGTACAAATGGAGCAAACTAGCCAAAACCCTCCTGAAAACAGATATTAACAGTGAGGTTGGGAAGCTGATTCAAAACCATGATCCATGGAACTGATGCTTCAACTTAAAAAATAAACGAATAGAAATAACATTCGCAGATAACGTCTCATTTTGAAAATAGAACAAAGATTACTGTTATGCTAGAATGCATAGAAAAACATTCTTTTGCCACACATTTACTTTTGTCAGAAAAATTCATATGCTTATATTTTTACAGGTTTAAACTCTGGAGGAATAAAATTGTCCCAAAGGGTAAACCATATGTTGGCATCTGGGATCCTGCTATTGCTTTCTGTTCTTACATGCCCTTTTCCTTGATGATTAAAGCAATGTTCAACCATGGACTTTTAAAAACAAACAGTATGTAGATCTTATATTAATACTTCACCACGACCAACATTCCAGGTAAAGAAAAATAGTGGGGATGGGGGAGGGAGATAGAAGTCGTCTATTAAGAAATCACGAAGTATCAAATATTACATAAATTTTTAAAAACAAGCTTTGGAATTAATGGATAAATGTACATGCATTAATTAAATGGAGTGATGTCAAACATTTGTAAGAAGAGTGGTCTCAATTTTTTCACAAGCAGTAGTTCTTATTGAAACTCCAGTGTAACGGTATGTCAAACATGAAAGACCTGTGCCAAGCTTTTATACCTGAGAGAAGAGACTTGAAATTATTATTATTATATTATTTATCTCAGTTCTTCAATGTAACCTGTAAAAAAACCCACCTCTTTCAATTAAATAAAAGCTATTTGTTTACTTTTTGCACTTGTTTGTATGACAGGGAGTGTCATACAATGCATTATATGAAGTGTACTATACTATTTTCTCCAGAAACGAGAAACTTAAATAAAAGGAATCATATGTACCAACCCAAAGCCCATCGAATTCAGTAGAAAGACTTTCAACGGCATCAGCAAGCCTCAAACTAGGTCTGAATGAGATGGTACCTTTTATCATATGAGATACCTTATATGTTCTCAAACACATTTTAAAGGACCTTTTCATGCAGAGAGTATTCTGATCAACAAAACTAGCAGAGATGCTGAATACCTTTTCTGAAGGGAGATATCTCTCTTCAAGCAGGTTCAGTTGCTCTCTCACCTAGTATTGTTATTCTTTGCTGTAGCTTCAAAATGTAGATTCATCTTTGGGCTGGGTATGATTTTCATCATCTTGAAATATAAATAAAAGCATCTAATTAATCCCTTCAATCTATTGAGTTATTAGAATTACAAATTAAACACCAGAGAGAGCTTTCAAGTCAGTAGATACAGCTCAAAATGTGAAGCCACAGTCGTGTCAACTTTAACTACATCTGATAAAAGACATTTTTTCTGTCTCATATCACTACTGGGGGACTTTTTCTTCCTTCTTACTTTACTTTGAAGTATATTTTCTTCTCACTGTCAAATACGTGTTGTGTCATCTTTGTAACCATTTATAACTACAACTGAATCAAATATCCTCTAATACTTTTGAAAGAAAAAAGTTCAAATGGAGATGGTGATGTGTAAGCACATGAATGAGCAAAAGGATAGAGGTTCATCTATGCATAATTCTTCAAACAGTGTCCTATACATGCTTCTTATCCAGGGGTATGGGAGGCCAAATTGAGAGCAAGAGGGTTTAAAATGTGGATTCATATAGGAAGTGACCAAAACTTTGGTACCTGAGATGACTCACAGAGCCCATGCACTGGACTTCCAAGGAGAACTGCGCACACACTGATAAAATAAAATCATAAATGATAAAAACATTGCAAAAGCACACGTTACAGAACAATGTTCAATTTTAACTGGAGAACTCCAGAGGATGAAAAGGATACTAAGTCCCTAGGACAAGGTGTTTCTCTTGGAGTTGTGCCCACCAGTGAACACTTGCATCTTGTGTGGAAACTGTCAAAGCCTCAAGAGCCTGTTTCATGTTCTCGTGGAAAAAACTGGGCATTTTTCCTCGCTGTGGAGTAGCAAACATCACTTCCACCTGGTGATGTTTAATAAGCCCCATACTGAACTCAACAAAATGTTTCACAGGGTCGACTGCTATTTGGTGGAGCTCTGAAAGAGCTTTTTACATCATCCCTTCCCAGCAGTTCTCCAGCAGGACCTGCCCTCTGCCATGGCAGCTCACTTGCAGACCTTTGTGTGTCCATTAAGCAACAGGTACATTTTTCTTTTTCAGTTAAACTGAATCTAAAATTCTTGTATTTCCTAACATAAATGCAATCCGTCTGCTAAGTTTAAACAAAACATCTCTTTTTATTCAAGCGAAGATTTTCTGCAGAGCAGCTCCATACAAAGGAATAAAAGGCCTGATAGAGGCTTAATTACAGGGAGGTCTAGAAATATAATGCCACTTTTAGAAGCCTGTCCTCTGGGATTTCTACAAAGATGCTAATTGCAGGAGTTATTAGGAAGAGGTTTAACATAGCTTTCAAAAGAAGAGAACAGCCTAGAAAGAAGTGGATATGCTATTAAAAATCTTGATAATACCCTAATGAAGTAAAAACATTTTTCTTTGCAGTGAAACTAAACAATGAATCATTTATTCAGATTTGTTTTCGTTTCTGTATTCATTACTGATGTTATTTGCAAGGTACTTTTCTCACTGTAGAAGACACTTCTCAGAATCAGGGTCTTTATGTCTCCAGTGCTAAACCTCATAATTTCTACATTAGTCATTCTGATGGGATTAGCCCCTTTTAAAGTACAGGACAATCTAGGAAGACCACTGGCATGAGTAAAGCTATACCCTTGCTGAACTCCCTTGGAGCTGGAGCACAAGTGGATGGCCAAGTGACTATTCTGCCTTTGAATATAGACGTGATAACTCCCTCATCCTCTCTAAATCAATGCATCTCTCTGACTTGTGCAGGTTCATTTTCTTCTCTTCAGCTCCCCAATTCTTTTTTGGTGTTTCACTGGGACAGACTGATATCTGAGCTCCCCAAAGCAGTGAAAGTCCAGCTTTCCTATTTATGTGGAAATGTTATTAAAGCATCCGATGCTGAAATAGAAAGAGTTCAGATGACTGGCAGCTTTCATTAAAAGAAAAAAAAAAGGTGAAAAAATAGTTTTGTCACTCACAGTTGCAGGAAGAAGTTTAAAAATAGGAACAGCATTAATCCCCTAAAACCAGAAGTCGAAACGAAACCAATGGAAAAATTAAAAAAAAAAACCTCTGCAATGATCCTGATTTTTAGCAACTAGGAAGCTGAATTAACCCCCCTCCCAAAAGGTGGCCAAGGCAGGGAACCTTGGGCCCAGTCTTATCAGATTTTAGAGGCACCAGATCAAATCATAGACCAGCCCAAGTTTTCAATAGCTGGAAGAGCAATACCTATCTTATTTTGATAACCTAAGCAAAGTACCAAAACATGAGAAAGAGTCACAGTCAAAGATTTTAGTTTTAAATTTAACACATCAACAAAATATTTCGCTGTGAAAAAAGCAATTTTGAGTCTATCCAAACGTTTCAGTTCGCTCCAAACACAATGTTTCTTTGTGATTTAAGAGCGTTTAAACTTTTTTTAATGCTGTCTCCCTTCTTTATAGGGCAATTTTTGAATATGAATGCCAAGAAACTAAATAAAATAGCCCATGTGTACTATTGTACCAGCCCCTAAATCAACATTATCCTGAAGTGCAGAAGCACCCTGTGCTTTCTGCAGGTCGTTGGAATGCAGCCCTGGTGACGACTTGACACAGAGCTCTAAATCACGCTTGCGTACGAATATATTGTAAAAGCAAAGAAAGATTTTATTAATATCTGACTGTACTGCAGTCGCAGAGAGTTTCCTCCAATGATTTGCAGAGCCCGTGTGGAAGAGAGAATTAATCTGCTCAGAGAGTTTTTGGGGAGACTGGGCTGCTGTGACCTGGTGTCTGGGGATGCTGCCTCCCTCCCTACACCCTCCATGGACTTTTGTCTTTTCAAGGAATATGTGTCCAACTGCTCTTTGCCTTTCCCTGGGCAAAAGCTAGGGTAGAACTTGTCCAACCCTGAACAAACCAATGCCTTTGATCCCTTCCAGCACTGATATTTCCAAGGCACTATCGTCCACAGTTTCCCTTGAAGTGCCAGAGAGCTGCTGCATCTCAGTGCTGCTTTGTTTTGGGTTTCAAGTGCCAGTCTGTGTAGGTGCAGTCACAGTACGGCCTTTGGGTGGACGTGGATTGAGGTCTAATGATAATAGCAGCAGGCTATTGAGTTATTTTTACAAGGATGATGAGCTCTTCAAAGCACAGGCAGCGCGGGAATGTGCATCGCCTTATCCGTCTGTCCAAAAATTGAAACAAGGCTGCAGAGACATAGCTTTACACATAACACCCCTGGTCATCTTCAGAGTGTATGTAAAGATTTGGCATTTCTCTTGCTTTGACCACTATCTAATCCAAAAACTATGGGGGTTGTGGGGGGGTGCGGGTGGAAATCAGTGCTATTAAAATAGCTTGTATAAAATCTTTCTTGGAGAAATTTACCATGTAGAAAAGGTCAGTTGGATATTTTGACAGCGTGGTACAATAAAGGCCTCTAAATGACTTCAATCATTCAGACTTTTTTTAATATGAACTTCTTTTTATCAGTTCCTAGCACTTAATTCTCAAAAATATGTCTCATAGCAATTAAAATGTCATATTAATAACACTGTTATGTACCATTTCTTTACCTAACCTATCTTATACATACCAATATATTCCAGTACTGAAAAACAACTACAAATATTTCCCATTATTAGTGAAGGTATTGGAATAATTCTGAAACACAAAAGGATACTTAGAAGACCCCTTATAATGTGCAAGTTTTTCACAAGATACGTTCAAGTCTGGAATTTTTGCACTTGAGTAAACACAGCTTTCTGCAGACGGTGTAGTAGGTGGGTCAGGTTAATTAAAGCCCTAGCTTGGACACTGCCATGCATGGCTCTGGATTCTGCTCTGCCAGAGACAACTGGTGTGACCCTAACCTGCTCAGCACAGCTCTATTAAGTATTACGCTAAAGCATGACATTGACATCTCCCTTCAGCCCATACCCACCACCTGTGCACATCCCTTCTGCATTCCTACTAATGCTATGTACATCTTCATGGCTACCATCACCTCCTAACAATTTCCTTTTCCACAACACATTTGGGCCCACGGTGAAAAGCCCGACACAATTTTTCAGAAATTATATTCCTATTTGTCTCCTTCTGTTCGTTGTTAGCCACGCACACGGGGCGATGCAGCTGGAGCAGAGGGACAACCCGCTGCCGCGGGCCCGGTTTCCTTGGGCATAACCCAATTTTTCCCTTACAAGCAATGTGT